CCTGGGCAACTTGGCGAGACCTCATCTCTACAATAAAATCAAAAATTAGCCGGGAGCGGCCACTGCACTCCAGTATGGTGACAGAGTGAGACTCCAACTCAAAAAAAAAAAAAAAAAGGAACGACTTGTGAATACTTTTGTTACTGAGCAGGTAAACCTTTTGCCTATCATATTTGTGGCAATAAATACGCCTCTAACAGAAAGACTGGTCAAATACATTTTTTCCCATTTTTGCATTTTAATTCAGAAAGGACTGACATTTGCTGTTCTTTTTTATTTTTTTTTTTGAGTCAGAGTCTTACTCTGTCACCCAGGCTGGAGTGCAGTGACACGCTCATGGCCACCTCAGCATCGACCTGCTGGGCTCAGGCGATCCTTCTGCCTCAGCCTTCCAAGTAGCCGGAACTACAGGCATGCACTACCACACCCGACTAATTTTTGATTTATTGTAGAGACGAGGTCTCATCAAGTTGCTGGGGCTGGTCTCGAACCTGCGGGCTCAGGCAATCCACTCGCCTCTGCCTCCCAACGTGCTGGGATTATAGGCTGAGCCACCATGCTCAGCTACTTTTCTTTTTTTAAACTTTATCATAAGAGATGGGCTCTTTGCTCTGTTACCCAGGCTGAAGTACAGTGCATGATCATAGCTTATTGCAGCCTCAAACTCCTGAGTTCAAGGGATCCTCCTACCTCAGCCTCCCAAGTAGCCGAGACTATAGGCACGTGCAACCACACCCAGCTATTTTTTTTTTTTTTTAATTTTTTGTTGAGACAGAGTCTTGCTATGTTGCCCAGGCTGATCTTAAACTCCTGGCCTCAAGCAATCCTTCTCCTCAGCTTCCCAAAGTGCTAGGATGACAGGTGTAAGCCACTGTGTCCAGCCAACATCTACTTTTCAGAGTAAGCTGATATTTCGTGATACAGCCTTGATTGCATGCATAACACACAAAAAAAATCAGTTTTTGATACTAGGATTTTTTTTTTTTTTTTGAGTTGGAGTCTCACTCTGTCGCCCAGACTGGAGTGCAGTGGCCGCTCCCGGCCACCGCAGCCTCGACCTGCTGGGCTCTGGCAATCCTCCCACCTCAGCCTTCCAAGTAGCTGGAATTACAGGCACGCGCTACCACACCCAGC